TGACTCTGTGGTGCCCTGGCCAACACTGGTCAATGAAAAGTCTAGGAGCACTGGATAGGGGAGGCCAAGTTACACACTTTAACTGGCTTGGAATTCCCTCACCAGTCATCCCAAACCCTTGGTTGTAAGTATTCTCAAGGGTAGATGCTGGAGTATGGAAGGGGCTGCTGTCCTTAATATCAGACTCCTGTATTCAACTACAAGGTGCAGATCATCCCCCAGTAAGGTTAAATCCTGCTGAAAACGTATGTGGCCCTTGTTTGCTCAGGTCATTTCTCTTTGTTGAAAGCCACTGTGGTTTGCTTGGTTTGGGATCAGAGCAGACCTTTGGGCTTCTTCCACATGAACCCTCAGATCCCCTTTCTTTGCTAATGGTTGTCCTCAGCTCATGGAAATCAAGGAAGACTTTGGCTTTGCAAGCAAAGATAACAGGGAAACAGGGAAGGAAGGACAGTCTAATGAGTCTTTATATTATCTATTATCCTAGAGAGGGCTCAGAATGGCCCAAAAAGGCAGTCTTTGCCACCTCATTTAGTCTCAGGAACGGTCAACAAACCTCAGATTACCCCCTCCCTCTGGAAAAGGGGAGGAAGGCGTGGAGGAAGTGCTCTCTGATCTCACCAGTCCTAGCTCAATGTCAGCCGTGGGCATTTCTCCAGGTACATGCCACCAACTCTCATCAACTATACAGGTGGCTGCTTTACAGCTGTAAATAATGTGACATCCCACTTCCAGTCAGACTACATGATGAGTCTGATCATCTCATCTTCCAAGAAGTTCATTGGAATTCTGCTCCATGTTTTTGAGAGGCAATCAGCCTTCTTCCACTATGCCTCATCTTGATCCCCAGATATTGTAAGAATGCGATGTATCTCGTGGAGGCAAGAATGTACTGAGAACAAGGCAAAAGGACCCACCTTCTTGTGTCTGTGTTTCTTTCTTTGGTGTGAAAAAAGCCCCCAATAGACTCCCTTTATATTTCATCCCTAAATTGAAGCAGACAGGAAAAGTATCATAATCAACTAAATTAGAACAGTCAGCCAGGATTCAGGCTCCATGAGTCCCCATTTCTCTATGAGACTGCTCCAAACCTCTTGAAGAACATCTCCTCAGAGCCCATCTGCACCCAAGAGTATCACAGAAAAACAAATAGTAGGTCCTCCACCATTCTGTCCCACGGGCTCACAGCCCAACAAGAATGTAAGATAAAAACAGAGCTATGTAGCTGACTATGTAGCCAGGCAATACTGTACTCCAACTTGCTCCTTCCCCAGTCTCAGCTGGGATGTTCTCTGCAGCTACACAGGGAGGGGTCCTTGGGAGAGAGCCTCTTTTGGGCCCACACAAAGGCATTTCCCTGGAGCAAAGACCCAGAGGCAAACCCAAATCTTGGACCCTTAAGGTACAGTGTAGAACTGAATGGGGTGGGATAGCAGGAGAAGAGATGAGATTGGGAGCAAGGGAAGCAGAGCTGAGAAGGGGAAAGATTTGAGTTTGCACCTGGGCAGGTGTCTCCCCTCCTCCAAGTCATATACTGGCCGTGGAGAAGACCTTGTGAGAATGCGTGGGCCAGTGAGGACAGGAGGAATCAGGGGACCAAAGGCCAGCACAGGGGATTGGAACATCTTGGGAATGGAGATGCCTGGACAAACTGTAGGCAGGGAGTCTTCCTAGCTCCCAGCTCCCTGGCAGGGAAGGAGGCGCATAGCATCCTGCTCATCTCTTCTGGTCCCAAGGACTATTGCAGTGGAAATGAGAAAACTAGGGAGACTATGCCCCCCACTGGCCAACACGTACAGGACTGACTGCCAAGGCAGGGCCCAGGGCCAGGCTAAGAAAGACTTTTCACTACCGCTCATCTTTACCAGGGGCCACGCAGCCTCAAGAGGACAATGAGCCCCAGTTTATTCACCTTTTTGGGTGGACCTGTGAGCCTCTCCACTCTGAAATCCAACCTAAGTGCTCCCACTACTGCAGCCCAGGCTTGCCCTCTGGTCAGAGAGCCCAGTGCAGAAGAGCCTCAGTGTGTGCACAGCAAAGGAGGCCTCTAGGAAATCTGTCTTCTTCCCCCTGATACTTGTACTGGCAGAGTTCCCAAGGACAGCAAGGTCAAGAAAGACAACATTGTCCTTCAGAGGTCAGGAGTTTGGAAAGCCCTGAATGATATGAAGAAAGGATCCCAGGAGAAGGCAAGAAAGGGCAGAGTCCCAGGGATTTCCCAGCCCAGCCAGCTGCAAATATAAGGTTAAAACTCAGGACTCTCCAGCCCAAATAGGACCATCTGCCCATTTCTCCGCTGTGATGAACCTTGCCCTAGGGAGGCTGGGAGCCAGGGTTTTCCAGCAGTGGAGTCTGCTCTCTCCAACGTTAGGCTTATAATGGAGTCGAGCAGTTGCATGAATTCACTCCTAATTTACAGGAGATATCACACCTTTTAAAAAGTTCCCCCAGACCTTTGTGATTCACAATGGCATATCCTGTCACTTTCTTTTTCCTTCTTACCTGACTGTTTCTGTTGCAGTTCAAACCTCTGAGACAGCAAGACATGCTAGGCCAAAGGCCACAGAAGAAAAATGATCCTTATCCTTGGGGTCCCAGCCCAGTGGTTCCTTCCCTAAAGAGCCCCCCAGCTTCTGGGGAGACAGGGTAGGCCCTCCTCCAAGAAAATAGGCCTGAGGCAGACAAATATACAAAGTAGAGCAGAAATCATAAACACATTTTATTTCTAAATAATTTTAAAACCACTGGCATTGTAGCAAATTGGAATATATTTCCAGAAACGACTCAAAGAGATTTTTTTTACAGCAACATATGAAAAATGTCATTTAAATATCCACTAGCAGCTGCACCACATGTTGGGCTCTTAGGAAAACACTTTCATTCCTTTCATCAAAGTCCCTTGATTAATGTTCCACTTTTCTTTGACACTTTTTCCGTAGTTTAAAAAAAATCAAAGCCTACACTATTATCTGGAAGAAAATTAAACCAATAAGATTTAATGTCTGCTATATTCTACAGTCATAGCAAAAAAATATACAGTTTAGGCCGTAGGCTAAATGCAAATGAACCTTAAGCAGAGGGTGTATCCTTACTCCAGGCTTTGGGAGGGCTGGGGCTAGAGACAGATGAGGGAGCAGAAAGGGTCCAGGTCCCACATCAGGGCATTGGTGGGGAGAGACCTGGGGAGGTTTCCAGTCTGGCAGGAAGGGAGGCCTGAGCAGAGGTGATGCCTGGCAGCAGTGGCCGGGAGCAAGGCGGGAAGGCAGGGAGATGCAGCCCTGTGAGAACGCTAGCAATGCTGATGCCACCTGCAGCAGAGCCTGCTTGCGTGGCTGAGATTTTGTGAATGAGACTCAGAGGGAGGCAGCTTATGGAGGCAGAGGAGAGGGAAAGACAGAGCAAGAAGGAGGGAGGGGAATGAGAGACTGCGCCAGTGGAAAGGCAAGGCAGATGGAGTAAGGGGAAATCACAGCGTGTCTGGCACGGCAGCTGATGCCATAATTTAAAGGTCAACTCAGTGGAAAAGGAAGAGAAAAGGGGGAGGGGGTGGTGTTGGAATGACTGCTTGCTCAGTATGGCACTTAACCTCTCCCATGCCGGTGCGTCTCCACTGGGTTTTGTGAGCCCCTGCAAAGTGCTGGTTCTCCTGCCTTGACATCCTCTAGGGGTCCTCCTCTGCCTCGACCTCCAGCATGAGTTACAGGCGGCAGACCTAGCTCTGCAGCCCGCCTCCTCTCATTCCCATCAGCGCAGGCAGACGTGACTTAACCTCCTTGAACCTCAGCCTCTTCATTCATTAAATGGGGTTGAGAACACCTAATCTCCCTGGGGTTTATGGTCAAAGTTAAACTGTATGATGGGCATAGATGCTGGAAAAACAAATTTCAAAGTTGCAGACCTTTCTGGGTTTGTCTAAAGGAAATGGCTTCAATTTGTCTTTTAGAAGAAATAGTTCTTTTGTTCTGGGAAAACCACCATTTGGGCACATAAAAACTAGTAGCCATACTTTGTCCTAACGTTGGAGACAATGGCCCCCTTGGACTGAAAATCTGGGGAGTAAGCCGGGAAATAACATCACCTCTCACCGTCCCTTTCCTGTTGTCTTTCTTCAGTTCTCAGATAAATAGGTCATCCCTCCCCCCAACAGCCCTTCACCGGGTTAAACTGTTTCTTGGGGAGGAATGTTACTTTCCTCTTTATAGATTTGGACTGCCTGGTGTCTATAAATTATGGCAAGTTCTTGGGGAGCTGTGGAGGTTTTTCTTGGAATGCTTATTTGCTAGAGGCTGGAGAGGAAGCCCCAAAAGCTGCAGGAAGGACTCACAGCCATGGGTTTCTACTCAGGCTGAGGGAGGTCCTAGAAAGTAGCTAGACATACTCATAGACTATTTAAGGACAAAAAGCCCAAACTGAATCCATACAGGGTACTACCTGCTAGGGCCAGGAGGTAAGCCCATAGTGCTGGTTGTCTATGGTGGGACAGAACACAGGACTTAAGACTTCAGAGCCATTCCTGTGCGACCAGACCTGAGGATCCTGGAGAGCTAGAGTGCCTTGATCTCATGGACCCAAGCACAGGCCTCAGTCCCACTAACCCCTTGTTTCTTTTCCGTTACTTCCAACCATTTACTGACTCAAATTTAAAGTCACATCCTAGAACTTTCTCCTGCTCACACTACCAGGACTTTGAATGGGAAGATGGCGAAAATAGTCACAGGAGTGGGGCGGGTAACAGGGAAGATAAAAGATCTCCTTCAGTGTCCTTATCATTGTGGCTATGTGTATGCTAGGAGTAGGCAGGGTGGAATGAGAATATTCAGGAAAAAATGCCCAAAGAGTACTGCAAGGAGATGGTGGTGGACATTAACCTTGACCCTTGACCCTTGACCTTACATGAGGTGGGTAACCCAGAAAAATGTTATACATAGGAAGCTCTTAGACATAAGACTTAAACATGGGAAGCCCTGACAGGGAAAGATGCTCCTTTTGTCTACTTGCAGGCCAAAAGAGATCCACTGGGGATAGAAAAGGTGCTTCACAGTGACCACAAGGGAGCTCAGAGGGACCTTTAGGAGACCTGCTTTTGGAGAAGAGCCCACAGTGACCCCTGGCCTGGCTTAGAGCTCCAGAGCAGGTAACAAAAATATTGTCAACTAGCAGGTGGTGAGCGCTCCGTTTCAGCGGTTATGTGACGGAGCATAGAAGAACTGTCTTCCAACAGGGGCTCTTTTTGGTCATGCAGAATGTTGGGGGTCCACCCAGTTCCGACATGGTGTTGACATGGCCCAGGCAAACTAACACTATGTTCTCATTAGCTGACCGCACACATAGCACTTTGCTGCTAGCCATCCAGAGGACAGCAAGGGCTAAAACCAACCTAGACTATGAGAGACAAACACAAGTTTCATTCATAGTCTCAACTAGGCCAAATGTAACTGTTGGCAATTCCTTGCAGATAAACGGACAGCTAACATTTGCCTAAAATAACTAAACTGAAGGAATAAAACCATTAGTTGCAGAGTAACAGAGACTAAAGCTTATATGTCAATATGATATAAACCAAAGAGGGACCAACCTAAGGGCAGGAACAGCATCTCTACTGGGACAGAGGTTCCCTAGAGCAAGATCTCTTCCCAGTCCCATGTTACCCTTCACCTGGAGCTAGGGCCTCTATGGAGGCATTTGAGAGAGCAGGTAAAGGACAACCCCAGAAACCTCAGGCCCCCAGCAGCATCTGGTCCCCTCTTTGCGGCCCTAGTCCACAGCAGGACCAAAGGCCACAACAAGTCATTATCCCACTGAGTTTAGCACCTAACACTGCCGCCAACATTTCTCTATTCAGTGTTTTCAAGATCCATATAGCCTAGGACACAAGTGTCTTTCCCCAGAGACAGCTCCTGCCTCTCACTCCCCGCTTCTGCCTTCTCACAACAAGTAAATTTCCCTGACTGCCTGAGGTCACCAAAGCCAAGTGTAGCCACTTCATCATGACACTTTCTGCTTCATTTCTCCCAGCTGCTGGTCTTTCTTGCCGGCTTGACTTCTACTATGTGCCAAGCCAGCCCAGGCACTAGGGATGCCTAAGCAAGCTGCATTTTGTACTCAGATTACTGACTGCCTTGTGATCGTGCTTTGTGGAAACCTGTCCCAGATCACAGATCCAGTCACAGGCCAAAGGTCACGACTTAGAGCAGGATTTTAGAGCAAGGAAGAGACAGTCAAAATCAGGCCTGGAACAGAGCTGTCACACTGGGGTGCTGGCCTGGAAACTGAAAGGCATGAAGAGAGGAGAAGAGGCTGCCAGACTGAGGTCTCGGGTCAGAGCTTCTATAAGTCTATTTGGATTTGGAGAAAAGGATGCTGACCCAAACTAACAGGGAACTAAGTGGGTCTCAAGTCTGGTTCCAGCATTCTCTCGCTCCAACTCCAGTTCCTTTCTGAGAAGAACTTGTCAGAATCACCCCTGTCCTGAGCCCATACATAGATATGTAAGATCACACAGGACACTATGAACATAAAAGATACTATTCTTGAGCCCACACTTACGTACTTACAGGACGGGGAGCTCACTGCCTCTCTGGTTAATGCCCAGTCTAACAACTTGATGTTTTCCTCCAGCAGTTCACCAGAAGAGCCCTGGAAAACTAGAGAAAGGAGATTCAAGTAGATTTGGTTGGAAACCATGGTTTTATTAAAATTGAAGCTCTGTCTGAAAGAAGGAAAGAGCCTGGAAAGTCAAAGATGGTGTTTTTGGCCTTAGAAGCCTTCCCTGAGCACTAACCCGGCCCTGACCTATTCTGTGGTGGAGGTGCCTGTGCCAAGATCTAGGTCCTATTGGCCCACTCTGAAAGGGACATCTCAGAGGCAGGTTCTGCTTGGTGAGCAGTGACCGCACCCCACCTCCACCCCAACACATACCCCCATCCCTGTGACTGGGTCCTCCAGGAGGATCACTGTGGGAAAGAGGGCGTTTGGGGTAGCCTAGGGTACTGGGATGAGAAGCAGGCAGCAAAGGCAGGCAACTGGTTCAGACCTGTGGCAGGAAGTCACGACCAAGATTCATCCTGGAAAAATGCAACTAATGCCGCGCAGCTGGGGCCGCTAATCAGAAACACAGGCCCAGAGGTGGCAGCAGGGACAGACCCCAAGGGCAGGGCCAGCAGCGAGGTGATAATAGGCCACAAGCTCTGGAGCCCTCTCCCCACCCACTCGGCTGCTGTTTGGAGATAGAGGTCCTCAGATTGCAGTGAGGAAAAGACAGCCCCCACCCCGGTCTGCAGGAGGGGGACTCATCAATCCAATAACATCAACTGAGTTAATTGCTAAAGCCTTGACTTGCTCTCTGGCACAGGGTGTGGTGATCTTTGCTTCTGCAGCCTGCTGCAGTGACTGTCCTCCCCAACTCCCAGCACCCATCTCCCTTCCTCTGCAAGACAGCCAGGAGGAAAGTTCTGAGATGACCCCTCAGCCCTTCCTGGCCTATCTCCCCAGGACCCCCATCAGATGGACAGAGGCTCCTCCTTGGGGAAGGCATTATGGGCAGGATTCCCAGCCAAGGTTACTGGGAGAAAAGTGAATGGTGACTGAGCTGCGCCAGTGCCCTTGAAAGTGCAGTTCACTTGGGCCCATTATGCATTGATCAAGCTTCTGCTATGGCCCACATGCCAGGCACTGGCTTCTAAGGGGACTCCTTCATATTCTCTGGCCAAAAGACATGATGTGTAGTTGGAAAAAGAAAAGATTTTTAAAAAGGTGATTTCAAGAGAGCTTAGTGCAAGTACTCAGAGATTAGAGAAGGTATAAATGCCCTAGGTATAAAATGTCCCCCAAAGGCCTAATGTGCTCAGAAATGGTGCTTTTGGAAGATGATTGAATCAAGGGGGTACCATGCTTATCAGTAGACTGATCTATTCAACTGTTCATAGCTAAATGTGCTGTTAGGAGGTGGGGCCTGGTTGGAAGAGGGTCACTAGGAGGTAACTCCCTCCCTAGCTCTTCTCCTCTCCCTCTCCCTCTCCCTCTCCCTCTCCCTCTCCCTCTCCCTCTCCCTCTCCCTCTCCCTCTCCGTCTTCCTCTCCTTCTCTGCTTCTTGGCTGCTATAAGGTGAGCAGCTCTCCCCTGCCATGATCTTCTATCATGGTGTTTCTGCCTTGGAGACAGCCAAGCATGAACTGAATCCCCTAAACTGTGAGAGAAATTAAATCTCTGCCTCTTAAATTATGTCCAAAAATATGAAAGCTGACAAATAATAGCCCCACTCAGGAATGAGAGGCAAGGCATGCCTGCTCAGTTCTCCAGGACCCCAGACATTCTGCCGGCTCTCATCCCACACTTCCCTTCTCTCGTTCAAGCTTCCCTTGTGCTTTCAGCCATGCCAGCCTCAAGGTTTAAAAGATGGTATGGCCCATTCCCAGGGACAGAAGATGGAGAGCCCTGCCCAAGATGGAGGAGCCCAGACACTGCAGATCCCCAATCCAGAGGTGGTCCTCTCTGAAGGGACCGTGCCGTCAGATGATCCTCCCCACCTTCAGTCTTTCTTCTGCCTAAGGTTCACCTTGCTGCATGTGAAGAGATTTAAGGGCCATGTGGCCCAACAGCATTCAGACCAGAAGCTTCTCTGGGCAGGGTGTACCCACAGGTATGAATATCTTCTGGAAGTGTGAATACCCTCCTGGAGACAGGGATGTTCACAGGGGTGTGAATATCCTCTGGAGACATTTAGAACCAACCATTTTTGATAGCTCTGTAGAAGTAGAAAGTTTCCCTGCCTTCCCTGAGCCAGACACATCCTCCTGAAATCATTGGTCTTGAGTTCCAGTTTTATCTAGGCTCTGAGACTTCATAAAAATAGCATTGAAGAACATAGCTTATATGACTCCAGTTATCTCAGGATAACTTGTAGATCCATTCCCAGGAGATTTGTCCTCCCTGCCCCCAACCCTTGCAGATTCTCTGGCCTCCCACCTATCTACCCGACCTGCCTCTCACCCCACCTATGATTTCAGGAACTCCTCCCCCTGCGACCCAACACCTGGTAGCGGGCTCACTGTAGCACAGTATAGTCCTCTGCAGCAGTCCCAGATCAGAGAGCCTTGACTATCAGCCCAAGGGACAGAGAACTGTGAGCAAGGGCAGGCTTGATATATGGAGAAGGAGGAAATGGTCCAAATGGAAAAGACCTGGTTTAACGGAAGAAGGGGTGAAGGGGGGATCTAGCAGGCATGCAGTAGGGGGAAGATGGGATGGGCATGACCTCAGGGAACTCACATGGAAGAAGCAGTGGCCAGAGGGTTACAAGCAGGTGAAAGGAGATGGGGGAAATAATGGCCATGGCGGGAGCTGAAAGCTACTGTCTTGGAGGTTCCCTTAATGTCTGAGTATCTGCTATGGAATTTCCCAACCTAATAAGGAGGAATTTAAATAGACCACAACTTGCTTAATGTTGACTGTATAAATAATCCAAATCCCCAGTTTCCTTTGTTCCACAGGCTATTTGTGTCAAGAAAAAAAGGAGGGGTAATCCAACAGAAGCTGCTGTCCTAGTTATCAGGATTTGGGGACTCTCTGTTCTCCTCCATCAGGGCCCTAGGGAGAAGAGGTTGAGGTCTGGGAGAAGAAGCTTTAGTTTTCCCATCCAAGCCTGATATTGATGAGTATGCACATACAAGGACACAACTGTCACACTGGCTTATACATAAGGACATGTGTGCACGCACAGTACAGTTTCCCACATTCACTCACATGTATGCATATGCACAATTTTGCAAACAGAAAGATACACGTGTATATACATTGACATTTATGGAGAATCCCAGAGGGAAAGAGCTGAAGATGTCTGTCACAGGGTCCCTTCACAAGTCAGGTCTGCACCCCTCAGGACAGGTCCCTGGTTTAAATAGCTCAGAAGTAGGATCCTGACACTCTAGTGACAGAGCGGCTTTGATCACGTTGAGTCACTTCCAAGAAGGTTCATGTTAGAGAAACCTCAAGAACCAAGTTCAGAGTTCTTCTCCAACTCCTACTTGGGCCGGTGACCAATCATCTCCTCCCCTCCTCCCATGAGTACTCACTCCCAACCACGCCTAGATATGTGGAGGACTCAGAGGATGAGGGGCACCACTTTTCTGAGAGCAC